GCTTGACAAGTGTTACTTGTGAGTTACTTTAGTTGTGTCCTATGGTGGTGCCATGATCCATGATTTACGGTGCCGCGTCGAACCCTAGGGTCTCCTGTGGACTGCAGCCATAAGGAAATACTGCTGGGCGCTCGCTGGTATCGAGGTCTGCGGTCATGATCCACTATAGCTTCGCAATTAAGGTGATTCATTCATCTTGGCACTTTCATTTGGAATTCATGTTCCATCATTCCATTGAAGTTACTAAATCCTTTGTCCCTTACATTGTCTTTTGATCTCGTTTACAATTTCAAGTCAACTCTTGTTGTTTTGTGAACAATTTGCAAGTTAATGTGTTTGATACATTTCCTTTTCCACTATTCAACCCAATGCTTTTTCGCACTTCAAATCTCGGGACGAGATTTCTTTAAGGGGGAAGGATTGTAACATCCCTGATGTTATAAAGTACTTAAAAGGTGATCATGTCATCATTATGCATAATCATCATGTATCAACTCATGAATGCATTTCAGGTTTAATTTATAGCATGTAAATGTTGTTATGAAGTGTGTTATATGTTACATGAAATAATAGTGATTAAGAAACTTTGTGAATTTTAATGTGGGAATCTATTAAACAATTCAAATTCTTCCTTAATAAAAGTTTAATAATTTTTGTTGCAATGCTTGGTGTGAATATTGTTTTATGATATGTGTTGACTTGTATGGATGAAACAATTTCAAAACATTTGTGTTTAATTGGATTTCCGAAAACCCGAATTTCCAGCATTTAAGTTTACCCTGGAAAACCTAATTCAAAATCTAAGCACATTTTGGGGTTGAGCCTAAAAGCAAAAGTGTAGAGCTTGTCGAGTTGTACAAAGTTGGTTTTTAGAGTTTTCAAAGTTGTTTTATGAAATTTGAAGTAATTTGAAAAGGCGAGATTCTTTAAATGTTCCCTTTTTTAATTCAAATTTGCATTTCAAAATGTAGACCGAATTAGGGGTTGGTTATAAAAGCAAAGTTGTAGAACTTTGAATTTGGAACAACTTTTATTTTTGGAGATTTTTGAGTTACCATGCAATTTTGGGAGTAATTTGAAGATTTTGGCGAATGGCAATTCTGTAAATTCGGTGAACAGTAACCGCGGAAGCCACCTCCCCGTCGGTGATCTTCGATCGTCTTCCAGTCGTCGCCGTGGCTGTCTTCGGCTCCGTGCTGGCTTGGAGAAGCTGCTACATGTCGTCTTCGTGTCCGTGGTCGAGCTTTAAAGCCAAACGCCGATGCCGTCTCTCTATTTTTCTCTCAGCTCAGAACCCGCCGCCGACCGAGCTTTCTTTGCCGGTGAAATTCATCGCCGATGATCAACCATCACCCAATAGCTCGCTCACCCAGCTTCGCTTGCTCCTTGCGATGCTCCCTCACCCTTATATGCTACTGCTTCCGGCTAAATTGCCCGAGTGTTTGATTTTCGTCGCGGCCGAGCTGCCATGGCCGCCGAGCTCCACCTCTCCGTGGCCAGAGCGCTCTGGTGCCTATCTCCTCCTTCCGAGTATGGTTCTGAGCTCTCCGTGATGCCGTGTTGCTCGTTATTTTATTCGTTTTACCTCTACCGCACCGAGCACGCGGGAACGACATCGCCGCCGTTCACGCCGCGGCCATCCGTCATGGTCGCCGAGCTCGCCTCCGCCGTGGCCGGCCTACTCCGGCTGCTCTCACTCATTTCTCTCTCTTGTTTTGCGCTTACCTCTGTGCCGTGATGCTCACAAGCAAACCGGTTGCTCGTCTTGTCCACAGGACACGTCGGAACGCAGCATCGCCGCCGTGTTCCTTTCGCCGTTCGTCACTGGGAGGAAGACGATGGCACTGTAGCGATGCTAAATGAAAAGTCCGTGATTATTTTAAATAGTGCCGTGATTTGTTATTTTTGTGTAGAATTAAATAGAGCTCCAAAAATTATGAAATTTTTTGTGTAACCTCTCTGAGATGTAAACTATTTAGGAAAAATATGAAACCATGAAAATCAATAGTTTTTGGATGCTTAAAAATTAGTCCTTTTAATTAAGAAATGTTTGCTGTGTAATTTTTATAGGCCAAAATAAATATCCAGTGACCATGAAACTTTTCTTGTATTTGTTTATTGTTAAAGCCTACATCCACAAAAAGTTTGGAATTAATTTGATGATGTTTAATTATACTCTTATTTATATGCCTTAATTATTAGTTAATAATTGTCAAAATGATAAACATAGATCATAAGATGTCCTGATTGGTTTTTGGAGTTGATTATAGATCATGAAACACCCCACCCCTGCTGTGTCATGGCCAAGTGATTACCTTCTTGATATGTTTAGGTTCGCCCTTTAGTAATAATTCTAAATGACTTAGTTAAGAATTTCGTTAGTAAATACATGTTAATAAACTTGATTGCTTCTTAGATGCAACCTCTTGGGTAAAAAGTAAAAGTTATACCTTTCCTTGTATATTGTTTATACATGTCTTTTCATGATAAAGCTTTAGTTGGTAAGCAGGTTTGATAAGTGAACCTTTGACTTGTTAGAAGAACGACTAAAAATGCTTTATGATAATGGTTTGTAACTATACCGCGAAGGAAAGTTGTATTCAAGTTATTAACTTTTGCATCCATCATCGAGCATCATGTTTTATATCTCGCATCATGTTAAACATGGCATTGTTACTACGTGTAGTGAACGAAGGTGAACACATGGTAGTTAATCAAGTGGTCGAGGAGGTTAATCCGTCTGTTGAGGTCGGATCGGATATTTGTGGGAACGTCGCATGAACCGGACTTTTCCGTCAACGAAGGCAAGCCCCGGATGCATACAACCCTACCTTGTGTTTTACAAATTAATTTCGCTTTTGCTTTCCGTTACTGCATTAAGTGATTAGGAGTTAAGTAAAAGCCTAATTGATGCATTACCACCCTTGTTATTCCATATTTACCATATTACCAGTTCTAAACTCGTATATGCCTAGTTTTGCTTAGCTATGCATAGAACGATGAAAGTCGGGTGATTACCTGCCACCTGCAAGTTTTAAATGGAACATTGGTTAATTATGTATCATGTGATATGAGAATGTGGAGTAATAAATCTAGACCGGACGGACTCGGTGTGTATGAGCCACAAGACATGGAGGTCTTGTGAGCAGGTTCTTTCCGCCTGTGTCGATTAAGGCACGTCCGTTGTTGAATTGCATGAGGTGAGAATTTGTAGTACTAACCACATACTCCAGTAAGCCTGAACTTGGCAATTCTATTACGAGAATGGCTACTCGCGCACTGGGAGTGGAGAGATGGCGGGAATAGCGTGTACCCACGTGGCAATGGGCTGGATTGGTGGAGTACTGTATTCTCGGGTGGCGCGGACCCGTTCTTGTTTTAGAGGATCCGAGAATAGGTTGGTATATGTAGGTCAGGGACCTGCATATGTCGTGTGGTCTGGAATTCCCAGCTGGGTTTATAATCGGTTCGAATCGTCGCTGCTCCTCGGTTATGGAGACTCAACTCACTGTTCATCATCGTAGTAATTAATAATTGGAACTTGAGAATGGTTGATGAAGGTGTTAGATATGAAGTTTCATGATCTCATTACGGACCGTGTCATCTTTGTATATGATTTTATGAAGTTTAAATTGTTGAAATAAAGAATTTTGTTAAAGAGCTTTTACGCAAAATAACTTTGATTATTGCTAAAGCCATACCTTGAATTCCTGAGCCTGCATTCCTGAGTTTTCTTATTTTTATTTCGGTTAAGTCTTGTTGAGTACTTTTATACTCAGGGTTCGTTGACCCTTGTTGCAGGTGAGCCTCATGAGCAGGTCTATTTTGGACCGTGCTGCATGACTGTTGTTCCATGCGATGATGATAAGTAAATGCGTGGCCCTTGGGCAGGGCGTTTTATTTGTGTGTTTGTATTATGTTATAATGCCACTCCACTACTACGTTTTGTAATAATAATCGAACTTAGTTTGTAAGGTTGAAACAACTGGTTTGTAAACTAAGTTATCGTAAGACTTCCGCTATTTTACTCTGGTGTATATATTTGAATAAACTGTTGTAATACTACAATGACTCTGTAATGGGATCCTGCTCGGAAATCGTGGATGATTCGGGGTTCCGCGGGGACACCCGACAGTCTTCTTAAGTTATCGGGAACATATGCATAGTCGTCAGAGGTCTTTGGACAGTGACAGGTGCATGTGGGCCCTATAATTTAGGAGGTTCTGCCACATCCGCCCCTGATTGCAATCCTCTAGATGCTATAGAGAATATTTATTGTACCCATTATTGATTATAGTGGAAGCTTAGAGTGGACCCATTAGTCATGTGGTTCACCTTAAGAAAGTTTTTCACGTAAATAGCTGTGTCAATTGTGCAAGTAATTTGTTAAATTTACGAAACTAATCTGATGGTACGTGTTCCACTCACTGTTCATTACAAGAGGAGGGGATTAATTATGCATGGTTGCTGCCCGGTAACACCTCGGTCTAGCACAGTTGACCGACCCAGTCCATCGGTCTCTATCCATGCTGCTTGCTTTTCAAAGTAAACGTCAACTATTTAGACATGAAGCCGCTACTTGAGAAAAATAATAGAGGCTCCTCAAATAAAATATACTACATTACTGCATAGCGGATAGTGCTCCACTATCCAACAAAGACTTAGTACACTGCATTCCGGCATAGCGGATAGTACTCCACTATCACGGGCGGATCAAAGGAGGCTGTCGGGGCTATCAGCCGGCCTGATTTCTTCATTACACCATAATTACTTAGCCTTAAATTATCATTAATTTTTAGCCCTAGCTCTCAATCTTTATTATTTAACCCTCTCTTCGTTTCCTCCTGCATCCGCCACCGCCAACAAAGACTTTTCATGACGACAAACGGGTACGAGTGCGATAAAGAAATGCACCGTGGCGTCGAGCCAACGACGATGGTGTGGAAGAGACGCGAGACGTAGACCATAACGTGCCAAGCAAAAGCCTTCATCATCACCATCTAAAGTGGAGAGACCATCTCGTACTCACCCAACCTCCTCCGCGGACGGAACAAGGGTGGCGCCGAACCAACCCGCTGCTGCAAGAACAGCAGCACGGTGAGCAGCGCCGCCGCGCACGGCACGATGACGTCCCAGGCGATGCCGTACAGGTCGTAACGGGGGCTCGCGTAGACGTAGGACGGCTTCGAGCTCGGCACGTAGCCCTGTGCCCTGATCACGTCGTACACGTGGGGCATCGCGCGGACCACGGTGCCGCCGATGTAGAACCACGGCGAGAGGGCTCTGACCCTGCTGGCGCCGGGCGAGAGCGCGTTCATGACGACCTGCGGGAGCAGGAACGCGTCCTGCGCCAGGCCCGCGGACGACACGAGGTCCTCCCACAGCGTTGCCGGCTCCGGGCCGACGCGGACGGTGAGGGACGACTCCTCCCGCGCTGCTCGGAGTGCGTCCACGACGTGGACGATGATGGTCAGTGCGCCGCCGATCAGGTACAGCGGCGCGCAGAGCCAGAGCGCTCTCCTCTCGGCGACCGAAGCTGACGCCTCGGCCTTGTTGCGGTCGGCGTCCGCCTTCCGTGCCGACAAGGCCAGCTGGATGAGGCGCAGCTGTAGCAGCAAGGCGATCAGAGTGGGCGCCCTCAGCATCGCCTTGCTCAGCTCGTACGGCACGTAGCTCTGGAACGGCAGTGGCACATACTGCCTCCTCCTGCTCAGGAACAGAGCCTCGGTGCTGACCACCAGAGGGGCGACGTACCCCAGGGCCAGGACGATGAGCATGGTAACCGAGGTGGCCGCCGCCGCCTCGGGTCTCCTCCTGGCGTGGAAGATCTGCAGGATGGTGAAGACGCACGGCAGCGTCGTCGAGATCACCAGTAGGATGGTCTCGAAATCCATCCTCGAGATCGACTCCGAGATCTGGTCGGAGTACATCCCGAACAACCTACGGCCTGTTCGGAAAGCCGTATCGTATCGTGGTTTATTTACTGCTAGCTGGTTTGGTGTGAGAGAAAAACACTGTTCCCAGCTGAAAATTTACGATCGTTTACGAGCATGCGAACAGGCTGCTGATGTCGACCTTCTCAAAGAAGAGGGGGTCCGTCTTGTTCCTCAGGCTGCTGATCGCTCCCCTTCCATGGCCCTGCGCCTTCCCGTCCAGCGAGGCTAAATAAACGGTGATCAGTATCTGGCAGTCCGTCGTCGAGCTGTTGTACTCTCGGCAGGCGATCATGCACAGGATGCCCGTCTTCGGATCAAAGACACCCTCTGCTGTCACTCGCCGTTCTTCAACGGGGATTCCGTACGACCCGTTCTTGGGACGCACCCAGCCCGCAGCTGGAACCTGCTCACGTATGTCGTAGCTGACGCTCAACAGCTCCTGCGAATTCATGTCGACCACGGCGTGCTGGGAGAAGGAATCGTCGGCGGCCAGCTGATCACCGTAGACCATCGCCGAGCCAATCGTAACTGGGTAGGCGCGTCCACCCAGCATCATCATGTCTTTAGTGCCGTAGAAATGGAACTCGAAGTCATGATCGGTGTAGTTAGGAGCAACGAACGGCCCCGTAACCTTCTTCTTGGGCTTGCTCGATACAGGATCCTGGAGATAATGCTTCTTCGCCTCCTCGACCATCGTGTGGTTGTAGACGTACTTCACTTCTGAGAAGTTGGTTCTATGGATGCTGACATCGATGCTCGACACTGGTATCACACCACTGACACCAGAGCCATCGTTTGTGCCATCATCGGCTTTGCTCGACTTCCAAAGCATGCCGGCGACGGCAGTCCGGTCCCGAATCGTCCAGACTCCGGGGAACCAGAAGCTCATGCCCATGTTGCACTCCTTGTTCACCGCCATGGACGCCGCAGAGCTCACCGCACGGCACGCCCTGAGGCAGAGCATGCTCCGAGCTGAATCCCAGTGCCCCTCGGCGACAACCACCTCGCCCTTGACCATGAAGGGTGGGCGTGGCTGCAAACGTCTCCACATCTGCGTGTCGTTGGAGAACGCCGCGTACGCGCGCACGGACCCGTCCGTGGTGCACTGCACCTCGCTGATGTGCAGGCGCCGCTCCGGCGAGGAGCCCGGCGCGTGTGCGCCGCGGCCGTCCTGCAGCTTGTAAGAGGTCGCGAGACGATCTTTGAGATGCGCGCACGAGAAGTTGGCGCCAATCGCCTGGAGCGCCCCCCTCGCGGCCGCGGCAGAAGATGGCGGCAGCCGCGGGCAGGAGGCGCGCTTGCCATAGTGGTACTGGTAGGTGTCGTCTTCGTCGTACGCGACGAGAGAGATGGTCTTGAAGCCATTGCCCTCGAGGCTGCCGGTGATGAAGGGGTCCGTGATGCTGGACGGGTTGGGGACGCGGAGGTGGAGGGCGACGCTGCGGAGGCGTTTGGTGGAGCCGTTCTCCTCGGAATAGGTGCCTGTGCCAGTCATGCAAAGCTCCCCGGAGCCGGAGGTGGTGCCGTTGTTGTAGTAACCCTCAAAGGAGAAGGTGACAGAGTGTCTGCCAACGTAGTGATGGCGTGGCCGCCGATGGGATCCCAGATAGTGGCTCTCGCGGTCGCGGCCGCCTGAAAGGGTTAAGATGGCGGCGACGTGGAAGACGGCGGTGTCAGATGTTCGATAGGCGTGGAGGGGGAGCAAAGAGAAGGAGCGGGTGACATAGGAGTAGGACGTCTCGTTGCTCTCATCTTTGGTGAACTGGATATCTTCGCCTCCGAAGAAGTAGCCGGCGTTGAGCTCCAAGGAGCGGAGGAGCGGGAGGGCGTCGTCCTCGCCGTCTGGCTGGTGTTTGGGAGCAGGGGAGGGCATGGCGCAGAGGGGGGAGCCTGAGGCGGAGAGAGTGGCAGTGGACAGGAGAAGGAAGAGGACGCAAAGGCTGCAAGCGGCCGAGTTGTGAGCTGCCATTTTGGTTGGCAGGGCGACGGAAACGAAGCACACGGCGGCGGTGGCGAAGTGTGGCATAACAACCGGCTGTGTGGCGTGGTGTTTATATCTTGGAGGGAGATTAATGACGATGATGCAAGGCCAGAGCTGAAGTGTAGGGATGAAAATGGTACGAATATTTTCTGATCGTATTTGAGATCAAATCTATTTAAAGGAGTTTAAATTTATCTGTATTCGAGTTTTGATATTCAACATTCAATACCGTATCCGTATTCGAATGTTCAAATCGCTTATTTATAATATCGATATCCAATCGTATTCTATCCGGCATAGCTAAAACTATCCGTATTCAAATTCGAACAGAAATATAAAAACAAATATTCGTCCGTATCCTATCCGTTTTCGTCACTGCTGAAGTCATGAGAGTTGAAGCCTGCTCTGGATTGCATGCGTCCTGTTCGTTTGGCCTGGTTTGACCTATAAGCTATGGCTAAAAGTATTATTAGCTAATTTGGTGTGAGAAAAAAATATTGTTAGTTGGCTGATAAGTCATGGTTTATAAGCCAAATCAAGGCTGACGGCTCAAGTCTCTGTAGTTGACTGCTGATGGTGGCGGTCGGTGGGCGGCGTACCTTCACACACGGCAACACCCCACAGCCACAGGCCCACCACGAAGCTTCCCTTGATGGATCAACGAATCTTCGTTGACTTGACCGCAGGAGTTAATACTGATTGAATTGGATAACGGGCCATTGGCAGATAAAATCTGTTATGGAAAATCCCTTCACCAATGGATTGTTGCGCGTTTAATTTTTTTTACTTTTGCAATTTATCCATCGACAGATTTTTTTTATTAGGTGCCTGTTTAGTTTCCAAAATTTTACAAAATTTTTCAAGATTTTTCGTCACATCAAATCTTTGGACGCATGCATGGAGCATTAAATATAAATAAAAAATAAAACTAATTACACAGTTTAGACGAAATTCACGAGACGAATCTTTTAAACCTAATTAGACTATGATTGGACACTAATTGCCAAATAACAACGAAAGTACTACAATATCATTTTTTTAAAAATTTCGCCAACTAAACAAGATATAAATATGTCCGATTTCATATAACATCACTTATATACCATATGAACATCACAAAATACACCATAAAATATCACATGTATACTATATGAACATCACATGTATATCACGTGCTATTTTATTTGCTGATAGATTTTTTTATATTATATCTGTCTGATTTCATAAAACATCACTTGTATATTATGTGAAAATCATAAAATACATCATAGAACAACACACATATACTATATGAGCATCACATGTACTATAAAATCTAACAGATTTTACCACATAAAATATGTTGATAGATAACTAGACACTCCCTTTTTTTTAAGAATTACATGGTACAACATAGACACCCACAGCACGCACGTACACTCACCCATATGGACATATGTACGCAAACCTACCCTATAAGCACCTCTGAAGGGCTGACTGAGCCGGTAGATCTCTAGATTCACGAAGTCACCATAGGCGCATCGCTATTGACGGGGACGTCGCCAACTACTAAAAGCATAACACCGTTAAATCCTAAAATAAATCTAGAAAAATACGAGCACCCGGATCAAGTCGATGACTTGAACCCGTGTGGACAGATTCCACCACAAGAACCCAACCACATCACCGAGAGAAGCCAAATTATACTCATTGTCCAGAGAGTTAAATGCACTAGGCCCATTAAACATATGTTTGGATCACAATTAAATTATTATAATCTATATTATACATAGGATAATAATTTTGTATTATAATAAATTATAATAATCAGAGTGTTCGATCCATAGATTACGACAATTGATTATGATCGATTAAAATGAGAAATTTCTATTTTATTCTTTAATTTAGCAAGTGGAACAATATATTGGGGCAAGTCAGACTTTCATCACCCATGATCTCCTAAAACCTAGTCTCACCTAGATTATGAGTTTATGATAATACGGGGTTTTGGTTATAATAATTTATCATATGATCAATCATGATCATAATTTGATTATATAATCTGATTATTATAATCATAAGGTATCCAAACAAACTTATGCAGGGATTTTAATTAGGTCCGCAAACTTCAACTCTAAAAGTCGATTTCGGGTCGATCTAATGTGACATGTGAAAGGATCAAGATGTCCAAAAGAGAAGTTGAATTGGGCTAATTCTAAAATTATTTACAATAATTAAACCCTACGGTTAGCCCACTTCACCCCTTATGCCTACAAAGTGTTTCTATTGTTCCACCGCACAAAAGTTTAGCAACATATGTTTCAATCCTACTATAACATGGCAATTCTATGAATATAAAGACAAGAATTGAATTGCTCAAAGTAAATGCTTAAAGTAAAGAGAGAAGGAGGAACGCGACGATGTTTTGCCGAGGTATCGGAGAGTCGCCACTCCCCACTAGTCCTCGTTGGAGCACCCGCGTAAGGGTGTAGCTCTCCCTTGATCCGCGCAATGATCAAGTGCTCTCTACGAGTTGATTCTTCGACACTCCATCGCGGTGAATCACCCACAACCGCTCACAACTTGAGTTGGGTCATCCACAAGCTCCGCCGAATGATCACCAAGCTCCCAATCACCACCAAGCCATCTAGGTGATGGCGATCACCAAGAGTAATGTAACACCCAAAAAAAATTTACTACAAATTAGCAATTAATTTTTAGCATTTATTAAATTTTCTATGTATTTTTAACTTAGGCCAAATAATAAACATTGGTTAATAAAAGTAACTATAAGGTTTAGAAACATGTTTATTGCATTCATGCCGAAGCATATTGTTTTTCGTTGAGTGTAGGGCTAGATGGTTGGAAGTTGAATTCGCATTTCATTTGAATTTGGCTTGAATTTGGAAAACTAGAAATAGAAAAGGTTTTAATTTTGAAAAACTTCATCTTCTTCCTTATTCAGCCCAGCACAGGCCCGGCCTTTCTCTTTCTCCCCCTTCCCACGCTGGCCCGCTGGCGGCCCAGCTGCGCTGCCCCTTCCTCCCTTCTCTTTTCCTCCCACCGGCCTGCTCGCTCCGGCCCGCTGCTTCCTTCCCGCTTCCTCCCGCGCACACACCGCACGTGGCCTGTTTTGGCACCACACGGCCTAGCTCGGCCTATCCCGCGCGCCCATGCCCGCACGCTATTCTTCCCCTTCTCTCCCTCGCCGCGACGCAGGCCCACCCGTCAGCGCCGCGCCCATTCTTTCCTTTCTTCTTCCCCAGCAATTTCCTTCCCTTTCCCCGACGCACCTTCCTTCTTTGGCACCCGCCGATGGCGCGGTCATGCAGGGCAAGCGGCCGCCGTCGCCCACACATGGCAGGAGACCAATCCTGCCCGCTCCCCTTCCTTTTTTTCGTGCATTGCTCGGCCTATAAAGCTCTACGCCGCACCCCTTCCCTCTCCCATCCTCTGCTTGCGCTCACCAGTCACCACTGCCGCTGCAATCCTCCCTCACCCGCACCTCAATCGCCGTCGACGACACCACTCAGAGCTCCGTCGTAACCCCCCGCGCCCGTAGGTACCGTAAATTTGAGGTTTTGGTCATGGTTTGATCGGATTCATCCTCACCCGCGCCCTCCCTCTCTCTATAGATCGCCGTCGTCGTCGACCCCGCTTTTGGAGCCCTTCCCGGACGCATCTGCCGCCTTTCCCGGACTCATGGTGAGCTCCCCGTCCTTCCTGTGCCTTCCATTCGCTGTTTCATGCTCTGGAACGTCGTACCGACGACCTCCAGACCCGCCGGCCATGGCGCCGCCGTGGGCTTAGCACCCCGCCGCGTTCTCCCGCCTCGGTAGTGCTTCCATCGGGTTCGCTAGCGACTGTTGGTAGGTTTGGTGTGTTTGGCTTCGATCGGGGAGGTCTAGAACGTCATCCCGACGTTCGCCGCCGTGTCTGCCTCGCCACCGGCCATGGAAGGCTCATCGGCGATACGGTACAGACGGTGGAGGTCCTCATTTGCATCCAGTGTTGTCGAATCTGTTCTGGATGGCCTGGATTAGAACGTACCGGTTCGGTACTGACCGGTCCACCGTGGACCCATGCACCCAGCCATAGTGCCGCGTCAGCAGGTCCACCAAGCCACGTGGTGCACCGCAGTAATCCCAGCATGCCACGCGTCAACCAGTCAGCACCCAGGGTCAACATCCAGTCAAGCCGCGTCCTTTTTGCATTAAAGCCCTTCTGTTTTCGTAGAATCAACCTGCAGTCCGGATTAATTCAAAGTAAATGCATATCAGTCCTGTTTTTATTCCTTTAGGCCCCTGTATTTTCCAGAATTAGTACCCGCAGTCCTATAACCATGTATATTCATATTTTTAATTGTTTTAATTCAAAAATAAGTTTAGTTTATTTACAGGAATACCATTACATCTTATTTCATGCATAACTTTCACGTTTTAAGTCTGATTTGAGTGATTCTTTCGCTCACGTGTTCGTAGCAATACGTAGAATATATTTATAAGCTCTTCAACTTATATTTTTTTACTATTTGGTGTACTGTTCTAATAGAAGTCTATCTTGTATGCATGTAATGATTGGAATGATGCTTGATTGGTGATTTGGAACACGATTAGAGGGTGAGCCATTTGACGTGACAGAGGACCCACAGCAGGATCAGCAGTACTTCTAGGACAACTTTGAAGAAGGCAAGTGTACCAAAGGCCCCTTGTACCTATGAATTATTACACTTCATATTCATGCATGTATCTAATTTGATATACCCTCAAGGACTTTACCTAGATGAATACTTGTACCACATATCCTTGTTACCTAGGGTTTGGGTATGTATTTTGGATAGATGCTGCAGCGCTGAACATAGAATAATAGTTAAACATGACTAAAGGCATTATGCAATATGATAACATGAAGCTTTTTAGCAATAGATAGGGGGCTAGAGTACGGGGTTGAGTACTCTAGTGCCTCTCCATAAGGACTTAATCCCGAAGCGGCAACCTAGGAGGTTCCGT